GAATCATATTTATGCTTCAGTTAATGCCTAGAATTTGAGAAAAAAAATATCAGATATAGACTTTTGGTACAGAGCAAGTTGCAAACAAGTATTTCAGATCTGTTACATGAGGAAGCATAAGTCAACTGAACTAGAAATCAAATTCTGAATGCTTTCTGTGTAAAACTTAGGTCATCCAGTAGAGAAAGAAAAAAACAAAGAAAATCATTTTTCCATAACTTTAGTAAAGACTTAAACCCTTAAGCAGAGCAATTATACTTTACTTGAGCAGCTTTCTGAGTTAGTTGAATGAATTATCTGTGGCTTAAATATATTTTTAGAAAAAAACCCCTAACTGTTATTCTGATGATTATAACTCCTAACTTTCTGTTACAGTAGGTCACATGTTAATGTCAATCTGACTGCAAATGTATTTCTGTCAAAATCCATGTTGCTGACCACTGCTCTTTCAAGTCTGTTTGTCTTGCTGTGCTCTAGGCTGGCTTAAGCATTCATGTAACAAATGGTAAACTTAATCAGGACACTGATCTGGCTGAACAGTACTCCTACAGAAAAACAAAACAAAACAAAACAAAACACAAAAAAACCAGTGCTTAGTTTTCATCCCAATCAGTTACCTTAATGAGCTTGCTTCAGTACCATGCAAATGCTATTACTGCTACAATTCTGGAAGGAGACATAGTGGATGATCATAGTTTTTGGAGGAAAATCATGTTAGTCACCTTAATGTGGCTGTATAATGATTTGCAGCAAGCAGTATGAAATTTTCCCAGTTTATAAAGAAAAAAAGCATCAATTTTTAACCAATGACATTTACAGGTATTGCCTTACATATAAAAGAACAATATGTCTAATGTTTTTACTCTTGAACTACAATTGTTCATGGTAAACATTCTGTCCACAATTTATCTAACCTGATCTAACCTGTCTTTCCAAACACTTTGCCCTATCACCAAAAGCAATCTTAAATATATTACATTATATATTATATGATATATTATCACTCATATTTGATAATTTAATAACTTTTGAAAATTATGTTTCTCTCATAGTACTTGAAAAGACTCAGAGAGACTTCATCTATGAATAGATCTTTCTCACTGAAAGAGTCCTATTCATTTCACTGAGTTTTGCTTTGGGGAAAGAATGTTAAATTTGTCCTGGTGATAATTAGGATTCAGAGAGAGTTTCAGTCCATCAGCATCAAATTAACAGCAGCTAATATAGCAGGTGACTGAGGAATGTATTCACCTTACAGGCTTGTTTGAAAATTCCCACAGCCTCAATTTCCAGAGCAAGATCAGCAATTCCTATTGTGAGGGGATGAACACCTACAACTTTCCTCAATCTCTGCCCAAAAATAGAAAGCCATGTAAATGCTAGCAAACTTCCAAAACACATGATGTGGAAAGATAGATAGCTATTCTAGGTGATTTAGACACATCATCCTCCTCTGCCCCTTGCATAAGGAGTGTCCCTTCACACTAAGCCCCAGTACTGGAAGTAGGAAGGGATCACAAATAGAATTGGGCCATGGACTTTCATAATGGTTTTTCTAAGGTATTTCACTAACCTGGTTAGATTTATTGGTTGTATTGGTATGTAAGCATAATTTCATAAAATAAATAATTTATGTAAGCAATCACAATTCTGTAAAGCAAAATCTTTTAAAAATCTGACTTATGTACATATAATTTCATTTATTATTTCCTATAATTGCATTTTAATTCAGAAATTTAATCTCAGAAAATTAATAATGACCAGGGAAGAAAAATGTCTCAATGGAAGACGAAAGTCACCCGAACTGTTATTTGCTAGAGATCTGAATCTTACTGAATTGATTATAGGAAACACCAGAAGATTTCCTCCCTCTCTGAGAAAAAGGTGACAGAGGGAGTATGAAGCGATGCTATGAAAAGACCCTCTTGAGCAAAATTTTCCTGCACAGCATTTCACAGATTCATTCTCCTATACATACTTCAAAACATCTGAAAAAAAAATAATTCTGAGATAGGCATCAACGGTCTTACACTACCAATCTAAATTATAACCTCTAAATAATGATTGTATATTTCCCTATCTGTTTTCAGATATCTTAGTACATCAAAAGTGGAAATTGATCTTAACTTTCTGGCATTTGAAAGAATATTGTTGCTTAATGTCTTGTCTTAATATTTTTTACTGTACAGTACAATTTACAATACACTGATCCTAAAGTTGTTTTGTTCCTCAGCAGATATCTACACATTTTTTTTTGTCTATTAGACTAAAAATCATGCACGACTCTTTATTCAGCTGAACAAATACTTACACAAACACTTTGGTAGTGATCTATCCCATAAGCCATTAGCTTTACAGGTCAAAGCAGATGACCCCAAGAGATAAAAGCCCTTCTTGCAATGGTATGCCACACTTGCTCCGTATTTGAAACTTTCGGGATAATTCTGCTGTCCATGCCGAATTGCATTTTCCACAAAGCCAGGATCAGAACAGTTCACCACTGTAAGACAGATGATGTTCATCACCAGTGCATAACAGCAATGTCACAGAGTGTAACAGTGATGGGTTTTGTTGCCTCACTAGCACCTCATGACTGTGTTCCATTTGATATCCTTTGTGTTTCTTACTTGACTTAAATATCAGATGTGTTGGCTCTTAAGTAAGCCTGTAGGTCTCTTTGCTATGAAAGTGATACTAGGATTTTACCCCTGTTCTTGTAATAGTCTTGGACATACAGGTCATTTGAAGATACAAGAGAAATTGGAGGAATATTTTTATCATTTTCTTGGAAGGCTTAGTTTGGTCTTCTATGTAATTGTTATATGAAGGAAACCAAATTAAAATCAAACCCGTGCATATTTTTAAAAAACAGTTTAACATTTTCTTTGAAATTTCCTGTAATGAGAAAAGTTGTTTCAAACATTAACAAGAACATTTTCTGCTATTAATGTGTAGAACAGAAAAAGGAAGATGGTGAAAAAGCAAATATTTGACAGTAGAATTGAGATTGAGGGTAACTACGAAGAAAGGATGAAGTAACTTTTCAGATAGAAGTTAAAAATGTAAAAAATTATGTGTTTTGTCATGACTACTTGGTTTTTAAATAAGGTATATTTACCTTCCTCAATCCTTCATTTTATATACTGTAGTGGACATGATGATTTGTTCATAGAAGATGAAGATGAGACACTGAGGTCTCCACTGCAATCCCCAAATTTTGCTGTCTATTCATCTGAAAGTTACCTGAAAAGTTATAAATACCTCCTCCACTCCTCCCCCGTCTTTACTTCAAACACAATTGTATAAATAATAAAAAATAGAATATTATTAGTATTTCAAGTATATAATTTAGTTCAAATTAATTTTCATTAAAAAGAAACCAGAGGAAAACAACATTAGATCGCAGTGTCATTATACAGGTAAAATATATGGAATCACTAATGCAAAGATTTTCACTTCCCAATCATGTATTTTTCAATAAGTTAAGGTTTATACGTATAATTTCATTTTACTGATTAGATAATACATTGAAAAAAATCAGTTTTTGCAAATGTTCATTCTTTCAGAAAAGGCTACATTCAATCAGCTAAAAAGTATCAGAATTTTAAAGATATTTTAAAATTTAAAAATATGAACATCCTAAAATTTAATTTTGGGTAGAAAAAAATTTGTTTTTTTTCCCTTTCTCTTTTAAAGACACAATCTTAAAAGTATTCAATTTTTATGATTTCAGTCTTGCAATGGATTCTAGACAAGCACTACCTAGATCTAAAAACGTCTCATATGAATCTAAATTTTTCCTTCCTAAAAATTATTTTAGAATAAATATTTGGGGGTGTGGGGAGAGAAAGAACACTCTTTGTCATGAAGCAAACCTGTTTACCATCCTGTGATTGTTATTAAAAACGATGAAGATAAAATTACACAGAAAAGCAAAATACATTTAAAAACATTAGGTATTACAACGATGTACATAAAGCACTAGGAAATTATCATCCAGACTGATGAAGTGACATGGTTAATGGAAGAGATATGTTTGGGTTTTATTTCTGAGGAGTAGCAAAGCTAGTCTTCTAATAGACACTATTCACATTTGGTTTTACAGTGAAACCTAATAAATAATTCATCAGAGACATTATATTTGCCTTATATTACAACAGTTTTGCTTGAATTTCATACTACCAAAATTTATTTAAACTTAGTCTTATAGCTTTATAAATATTATACATAATCACAGAATCATTGAATGGTGGGGGTTGAAAGAGATCTCTGAGGATCATCAACTCAAACCCCTCCCTGATTAAACCTAGAACAGGTTGCACAGAACCACATCCAGGCAGGTTTTGAAAGTCTCCAGAGAAGGAGACTCCACAACCTCTCTGGGCAGCTTGTACCAGGGCTCTGCCACCCTCACAGTAAACAAGTTTTTCCTCATGTTTAGGTGGAACTTCTTGTTCCTTGTTTGTGCTCATTGCCCCTTGTTCGTGCTCATTGCCCCTTGTTCTGTCACTGGGCATCACTGAAAAGAGACTGGCCCCATCCTCTTGATACCTGTCCTTCAGATATTGATAAACATTGATAAGACCCCCTTTCAGTCTTCTCCAGGCTAAACAGACCCAGGTCTCTCAGCCTTTCCTCATAACAGGCTCCAGTCTCCTCATCATCTCTGGAGCCCTCCATTGGACTCTTTCCAGTAGTTCTCTGTCTCCCTTGAACTGAGGAGCCCAGAACTGGCCACAGTATTCCAGATGTGGCTTCACTAGGGCAGAGTAGAGGGGGAGGAGACCCTCACTCGACCTGCTGGCCACACTATTCTTAATGCATCCGAGGGTACCATTGGCCTTCTTGCCTACAAGAGCACACTGCTGGATTATGGTTAACTTATTGTCCACTAGGAATCCTGGGTCCTTCTCTATGGAGCTTCTTTCCAGCAGGTCAACCCCTGACCTATACTGGTGTCATGGGGTAATTGCTCCCCAGGTGTAGGACTCTACACTTGCCCTTGTTGATCTTCATTAGGTTCTTCTCCACCCAACTCTTCAGCCTGTCCAGGTCTTGCTGAAAGGCAGTACAGCCTTCTGGTGTGTGAGCTACTCCTCCCAATGTTGTATCATCAACAAACTTGCTGAGGGCAAACTCCATCCCTTCATCCAGATCACTGATGAGTATCTTCAACAAGACTGGGCCCAGTACTGGACACCTGGGGAACTCCACTAGCCTCAGGCTTCCAACTAGAATCTGCATCAGTGATCCCAACCCGCTGAGCTCTGGTGTTCAGCCAGTTCTTAATCCAACTCACTGTCCACTCACTAACCCACACTTCCTGAGTTTACCTTTGAGGATGTTACAGGAGATACTGTCAAAAACCTTGCTGATATCAAGGTAGACAACACCCATTACTCCCACCTCATCTACCCAGGCAGTCATGACATCACAGAAGGCTATCACATTGGTCAAGCATGATTTCCCCTTGTGGAATCCATGCTGAACACTCCTCCTAACCTTGTTTCCTCCACATGCTTAGAGATGACCTCCCCAATGAGCTGTTCCACCACTTTTGCAGGGATGGAGGTGAGGCTGACTGGCCTGTAGTTTCCTGGGTTCTCCTTCCTGCCCTTTTTGAAGACTGAAGTGATACTGACTTTTCTCCAGTTCTCAGGCACCTCTCCTATTTGCCATGACCTTTCAAAGATGGTGGAAAGTGTCTTAACATTAACTTCAGCCAGCTCCCTCAGTGCTCATAGGTAAGTCCCATAGGGCCCATGGATTTATGGGTGCCCAGCCTTCCTAAATAATCTCTAACACAATCCTCCTTAACCAAGGGAGAGTCTTCCTGCTTCTAGTCTTACACTTGTCTCTCTTTCTCTTTTAATCAAGTATATGCAGGTCAAATAAACATGTTTACACTGGGATTTCACTGTCAGAAGCAAATACCTTTTTACTTTATGATTTTTCTTTCCCACAACAGACAGAAAAAAAATCTCACTGCTATTTTGAAGTTGGGAAAGATTGGGATGTGGAAGTCTGTGTCTCTGGACCTATTTTGAAAAAAAAACCCAAAGATTGCTGCTTCTGGGAACCTGCATTTAAGAGTATTATCAAGAGAAAATGCTTTATCCTTATTACATTACACATGCTTTATAACTTCTTTTTTTTTTCCATTCTTACTAATTACTAACAACTATGTCTAATTCGTTCACTGGCAATATAACTATCACAGTAGAACAGAGACCCAAATTAAAGTCTGCAAAACATACAGCCCATTGACACGAAGCCCTAACAAAATATTCAGCTAGATCTGCATGAGCTCCTATGTCTGTATTCACAGTGCAATTCTTTGTTACAGAAACTAGCACAGCTCCCAGAAGCAAAGCACACTGCATCCCAATTAACCCTGTTTCTTAGACAATTAGACATGGTGTAGTGCTGTGTAGATGCTGCTGTAAAGCTCCTGCTTTTGGAACTAGCTTACATCCTCTGCACAGTTGCCTTGTACAAACATGTCCTTAAGTTCAGTCTTTCTACATATGTACATACTTTGCTTAGCATTTGAAGCTATATCTGTATTAATATGAAGTAAAGAATAACAGCACTCCTTCTCTGGCATGAGACCAGTAGACTGTGGCCATGGCTATGCTGTTGTGCTCTGCTGCCCTCCAGACTCGGGTGAATTCCTCTGAAATACTCATCAGGAATGGTCCTGCTGCCCATTCTAACCCTTGAACCACGCTTGGGATGATTCCTGTGGATGTGCTACTTGGTTCAAATGAAAAACTTTTTGGAGAACCTTCTTAATTAGTAAAAATATTTAAGTTCCCATGACAAGAGAGTGTTTAGTTTAAAAATACAGATACATTTAATTTTAAATTCACAAATGAACATTTCAGTCTTTCTATTTAGCTAAAATTGCTCTATGGTAATGTAATTTTGATCCCAAACTTCCCAATAACACAATATCAGTATTGTGACCCATCATATCACTAATAGATGTCCAAGGTTGTATGGAATGTTTGCACTGGTGCAGAACTGAACCTTTGTCTTCTGACACCTCTCTCCATGCTCTTATCAATACACCATTCTTCAATGAATGTACATACCAAAAAGTAACTACAAAAAAATAACACTTTTCCATTCGACTGGTAACTACCTATTTTAGCAACCATCTTCACAGCTTCATAGAATCGCTATGGTTGGAAAGGACCTCTAGGGTCATGTAGTCCAACCTCCATCCCAACATTTCCCTAACCACTAGACCATAGCCTCAAGTGCAACATATACTCCTTTTTCAAACACCTCCAGGGATGATGATTCCACAATCTCCCTGGGCAGCCTCTTCCAGTGCCTGACCACTCCCTCAGTCAAGAATTTTTTCCTAATATCTAATCAAAACCTCCCCTGGTGCAACTTGAGGCCATCTCCTCTCATTCTATCATCAGTAATTTGGGAGAACAGAACACCAGCCTCATTACAACCTCCTTTTAGGTAGCTGTAGAGAGCAGTATGGTCACAAATACAAATTATTTTCAAAATTTTTTCCCATCCTATGGAGTAGTCAAGTCTTTCTCCAGGTTTAATTTTTAACAAGGTTTTACAACTGTCCCATTTTTTAGTACATTTGAGATTATTAAAATAAAATATTACTACTTAAAATTGAAACTTTGGTTTAATGGGTAAGTCTGGCAATTTAGCTACTGCCTAAAACAGTATTAGAAATAAAAAAACAAACAAACAAACCTTTGTTTCATGAATATATGTTGTCCTAAAGCTACCCAAACCCAATTCTAACTGAATTATCTTTGAAACATCAAAAAGTATAATAAAAAAAAATTAATTCTCCATGCAGACCAGAAATACAGATTGTTGAAGGAGTATATTAAAGTGCCAAAATATAATTTGTCTGTGTGATAGTGTTCTCATTTTTACCAGTAGAATTTGTTTATCCAACTCAGTGATGAATAAAATACTGAATAATCACTAAATGCATAATTTAAGCATATGCTCTGTGTGACAAAATTCTTGTGTCATACATGAAGTCTTATCAAATGATTATGCAAGAGAATACCATCCTTCAAGCTAAAAAGTAAAAAAAAAAAAAAATTATGCCTGCACTGCCATTTAACATCAGCTATAGATTTATAGAGATATAAGTATAGACAAGAGTGTGCTGGTTCTAAGAAAGGCTGAAGTAAGGAGTACTTTAGAAAAGAATTTGAGCTGGCCAGCACACAGAACTAAGGCAGTAGTTTCCCTGATTGCCTTTCACCCAGGGGATTCAGTTGTAAATCATTGTGAGAATAGGTGGAGATTGCTTTCTCTGAATGGCAGCTGTCAAGGTTTACATGGGAAATTAATCCTGGCACTCTCTATTTAGTCTGTTGAGAAAAGCGAGAGAATGTTTCAAGTCTGCCCTGACAACTTTGGAGCCTCACAGTGGGTAGACTCAAACCTTTGAGGACAAAGAAATGAAAAGACCATGCCAGAGTCCTTTAGGCAGTTTTCTCTTAAAAAGCTGAATGATCATCAAAAAGTACGTAATTCACAGTATTTCATGTCTTGTTCTCACTATCTCTTTCAATTTTTTTTTTTTTCTTGATAGAAACAATTATAAGCTTTTTAAAACTCTCATATCTGGTTGACAGTGATAAAACTTTTTTATTTGAAAAGTATTGCATTAATGTCAGTCTCAAAAACATGTATAGGAACTGGCACTCAGAGTGAATGAGTAAAGAATTCACTCTGACTTTATGACAAATTCTGAGAAATGCTGTCTATAATAAAGAAAGAAGGCACTGCTTGTGAAAATTTGATTACAAGATTGCCAGTCTACAGAATTTTAGTAAAGTTCAGTACAAAGTCAACAATACACAACAAGGATAACTTCTCTCAGGAAAACAAAACAAACAATCCAAAAAAACCCCAAAAACAAACAAACAAAAAAGGAAAAAAACCCAAACAAAACAAACAAAAAAACCCCAATACCACAGCCTGCCCAACTTAAAACTTCAGTTTTCAAAAGTCTCATATACATAGGAGTCTGATATTTTAATTGTTAGTTTTCAGTGGGGGCCAGGTGGAGAATGATTTTTATAATAGATATTCTGGTTCTGTAAACTATGGGGAGAGGAGAGGGGAG